CATTTACAAAAGGAAAATTGTGGATAACCATTTTTTCTTATTTTGAGATGTATGAAATAAGAATTTATTCAAGAAGTCAAAGACATTAGAACAAAAAAAAAGAAGGAGGGATTGTATTATAACAACCATCATAATGGAAAGCTAACAAGACAAAAGAGAATCACCTGGGTATAAATGTAGGGGCAATCCCTTTGCAAACTTTATGGACAGTCAGATTAACCTTCATTCGTAAAAGTTCAAGGATATAAAGCTTTAAGTGGGTCTTTGCACTTATGGTAAATCTTATTTGTTAATTCTGTTGTGCGCATTTCTAAACAGAAACCAGAGAGATTTAACTCTGGTTATAAAATTGGAAAGTAAAGTAGCAATAAAAGTCAAAGGATATCAAGCTATCTGTAATAATGGAGGGATCAAGGGAAGAAAGTATTAGCAAATAATGTAAAGAAGCTTTGCGCAGAAAATCTTGTAGTAGAAAGTACTTTCACTACTTCAAGTTGTCAAACTGACCCTTTGTCAGCATTTGACAAATTGCTTTTTTATCAAGTGGTTTAAGTGCTTGTGGTTCAGCTTAGGAAAACAAAACTAGTTGCTAAATAAACCTATCATTGTCAATGTTTTTACTTCCCTTTTTCGAATCATTTGGCTACAACTTAAAAGTATGATATTGCATGAGCTTGTTCTTGCTGAAGTGATATCCCATTGTGATTACTCAAATTTATGCCTACAAAATACTTGACAGGTTAGTGGACGAGTGGGATTAGGAACAATGTATGGTGCAAGTTGTTGGGCATCATCAAAAGGTCATTTTGTTGCTCCTTTCATGGTTGGATGCTGTGTCTCTGGTGCTGGAGAGCACCTAATGAGAGTGCTGTCTCTCACTATTAATACATGGATGTCTAAAATATTTTATTTATTTATTCATTTATTTTGAGAGGGAGGGGTCTTGATATTTTAGTATGTTCTTTAATTTTATTCTTTTCTTTTTCATGGTGATTTAGTATATATTTGGAAGGAACAAGTCCTGGTTCTTGCTCTAATTTTAATTGTTGGACCTTATTGCTGAATTGCATAAGGTATTTACTTGAAAACTTGTCTTATTTGCTTCCAGTCTTAAAGAAAGAAAAAAGTGCTATTTGCTGTAGCAACACTCTGCCTGCTGGATCTATCTGATCTTGCCTTCTCTGCAGTTCGCAATCAGGTGCTGCCGCTGTTGCACAAAAATCTTACGCTCAGTCGTTGAGGAAAGCAGTCAATTTTTTCTATCGGTGGCAGTTCAGGTATCTTAGCTGTGCAGGCAGATGCATCTGTAACACTGAGACCTGGATTCAGTTTTTCCTGTTGATTGTTTCATTAAAATGTCCTAATTTGTTCTTTTCATAGGGTCAAGGAATACCACCAAGGCTGGAAGCTGTTGAGATTGCAGCCGCACACACTTCCTTATCTTTCGGATTAGGATATTTTGGAAGCTCCATGGAACGGCCTAAGGTAGCTTAAGCTTAGCAAAATCTGATGATGTGGTGATTTCCCATCATTTGTAGCTGTTTTTTAAATTGTGTGTAGCCCTCCTTTTATAAAAGAAAAACATGTTTGAGATATAACCGGATGAAAAGGATTTGCAGCTTTATTATGATGTTAAGCTTTTGTTTGATACTTAGGCTTAAGGATAGACTTTTAATCATGAAATGATTACACCATGACCCCATCAAGCGAAGTCTAGAATACCTATCCCTCCTTGTCCTTTGAATTACATGTAAATTTGAATTTACTTTTATGATTTAATCTCATTCATGTTCTCCATTCAGTCAATGCCTTTTTGGAAAATAATGCTTTTACTTATATCTACCAGGTTTCAATTCTTAGAAGTACAAAACAAAGTAGGAGGGGGATGGATCAATTTGGAGCAAGAGAAAATCTTTCATGCAGAAGAGGTGACAGTCAAACAACACTTGAATCTAAATAACATGATTCAGATTGTTTTCGGTGTGTATCTTTTCGCCCCTTTTAATGGTATTGCTTATTGAAAACTATATATTACTATGCACATTGCAGAATCATCATGCCCTACCTTGAAGATTTTAGATGGTGTACTTTTGTTGAAATAATTTGAAATTCACTATAGATGGAGATCAAGTGTTTTGACTATCTGGAATTTGACTAGAATGATGTTAAGTGCAGGTCATTTTGGAGTCACGTTGTTCATATTGCGTGGTAGATTTTGATTTTCTGCCTAGTTGGAGGCTTCGCAACAAATCAATCAAAATCTGAATTAGATCACATAAAAACTGACGCTAGATGAGCATGAGACAGATAACTTATTGGTCTGCGGTGACAAGCTCACTTTCTGCTGAAGTCTAAAAGTTTATAAATGGTCTCTGTTGTGTTGTTAGCTGATCTGCACAATTGCATTGCAACCATTAATGTTTCCTTCTATTGGAAGTTTTGGAATGTGATGGTCTCTACCTTTCATTTACAACCTGTCCTAAGGAAACCTCTCATTTACACGAGGTCCAGCGCCATGCGGGGGGAAAAAAGCAGCAAAAAAGACTTACATCTCAGTGATTTACTACTAATGACAATGTTGTGGTGAGCTTTCAAGTTTCCACAAAAGAATGCATATTTTGATTTGAATATAGTTGATGAAGAGATCAGTTCAAAATGCGTTGAGGGATTTCTATTTTAATGGTCATAGTATGGAGATTCAGATGAACTCGTCCAATTGAACTAATGAATCATTAAATTAATCTCTTAAATAGTTTAATAAAATGTTTTGTTTATATCTAGTTTAATCATTGTTTGACTACAATTTTGATAATTAAACTTTGAATTAGTATTTTGATCGGTTCAATGATCAATCTAATTTTTAATACATTATTAATAGTATTGATTTAGAGCTCATCACTGGACAATTTTTTTTTTTTGAGGAAATACGATAAAATAAGAGAAAATTAGGAAGAGAGATTTGAAAGAAAAGGGAAAGATTACAAATAAGGACTTCTAAATCTCACAAATAATCCATCAAAACCATGAAATTAAATTTTGAGACTATTGTTTTTTTTTTGTAGTTTTAAAAATAATACTTTGACTAGAATATCCATGTTTGAAATGCCAAATTAAAATTTACCAGTGGTAAAATCACTTTAATTGGGTTAAAAATTTAGTTAAAAGAGGTTATGAAGTCATTTTATTTGAGTTGGAAATGTTTTTACTCTTGAGCTTGTAATTGATTAATTTAAAAGTCACTACTATTGAAATCACTTTAATTGGGTTAAAATTTAGTTGAAGGGAGTTATGAAATGCTTTATTTGAGTTGGAAAAAATTTTACTCCCAGACTTATAAAATTAGTTACCAAACTTACAATTGACTAACTTAAGATTTGTTAGTGCTGAAATCACTTTAATTGGGTTGAAATTTTAATTAGAAGGGGTTATTAAATCACTTTATTTGGATTGAAAACATTTTTATTCTTAGACTTACAATTGATTAACTTAAAATTTGCTAGTGCTAAAATCACTTTAATTGGATTGAAGATTTGGTTAAAGGGTTATAAAATTACTTTATTTGAGTTGAAACATGTTTTATTTCCAAACTTGCAAACTTGGTCACTAGACATGGACATTTTAGTAAAAATATTATTTTTATTGCAAATGGTCACTAGACATGAAAGTCATGATCCTAAAATTCAATTTCAAAATTTTGTAGTCTCAGATTAGTTATTTGCGATCCTTGGAAGTTCTTATTTGCGATTTTCTCAAATAAAAGTCACATTACTTTCTCTATAAATCAGAATTTTCCCACTCATATTCACTTGGCTGTGCACATGGAAATTTTCTTGTTCGACTTCTTTCTCCCATCCAATTTAATAGTTAAAGTTTATGTATTTAAGATAAGACAATATTGTTATGTTTAAAATAATTTAAGGGTGACATTGTTCTGAGTTTGGGATTTTAGGATATCAAATGCTCTTTCAAGAATAGTTTAAGAGCAAAAATAATATTTAACTCTATTTAAAATTAAGCTTAACCTGTAAAAAACTTATCACAAATTGGCCCAAACATGTTTAAAATTATGAAGGATCAACACAAATGTAAGATTGGTTACCAAATTTGTACATAATGTAAATGTCAAAAATAATTTGAAGACTTTTTGTTTTTTATAATCTCAAAGGGACAGGCACTAACAATATAAAATTATAAGTAGAATTGAATATGGGATCCTCTTTCAGCCCAAAAAAAAATGTGATCCTCATATAATAGCTAGAGATTACAAGCGTGACCGTATGTATGAAGGAGGGCTTTGATGTCAGAAGGCCGTTGGCGTGCTTATTGCTTCTAATGGTAAAATACTTGCAAACAAAAAAAAAAAAAACAGAGAGGGAGAGTAAAAGATGGCATGAAAGATACTCTTTCTAGTCCATAATACTTGACATTGGTAATTATTTACAGTTCTAAAAAAAATTTGGTTGAGACCTTAATTTTTTTAAAAATTGCATAACCTTTTCAATTATATCTTCAATAAAAACTCAATATAAATGTCTTATTAATGAGAATTAAAATTTTAATAAATATTTTTTAAATAAAAATAATAAATAAAGAATGTGAATAGTTGAAAAAATATAAAATTTAGTGAATATCTTATATTTTAAATTAAATAAGAGTTCTAATAAAAGTCTTATATTATGACTTAAGGTGAAATATCCTTGACTAATTGTGGTGCACGCAAATCCCTAGCTTTGAACATTGAAAATAATCAAATAAAGTATATAATAGATTATAAATAAAGGTTATTTCAATTAATAAAAATTTGATTCATAATATATAAAACTATGGGATAAAATTCTTTTTTATTAGTTGACAATTTGTACGTATCCCTTGTTTGTGCTATTATTTCGTTATTAACAACACAAAAATTGGTTCACTGATCATTCCAACTTCCAAAATCGTCTCATGCGCCTATCCTATGCCTACCATTTTGAGAAGGAATCGATAAATCCTAATCCGAAATACAACGTCGAAATCCAAAAGGAAGAAAAGAGTTCGATTATTGATAATTCATATTACTACTGGTTAAAGGTTAATGATTACCCAATCAACAGAAAAATCAAAAAATTTCTGGAAAGGGAAAGCAAAACAAAAGATAAATATTTACACAGAAACAGTGATTGAGAATGTCTGGGAGAAGGCGAGCACGTCCTGACACAACCACGCCACTTCTCGGCCAACAGCCTCGCTCACCATACTATAGCCCTCGCAGTCCTCGGCTTCATTCTGTCTTCCTTGAGATGTCTTTTTCCTCTCCCACTCCTCCCGCCAACCCTAATCGCTGTGTCTTCCTCGGCGTTGACGTCGGCACCGGCAGCGCCCGTGCAGGTGCGTTGTTTTTTTTTTTTTTTAATGTCATTCGTTTATGTGTGTTTGAGTTTGTTTTGTTGAGTAATGGTCTGGTAATCGAGTTCGTGTCGGGATTTGGTGTTTAATTTTGCTTTCTTCGGCAATTGTTGGAATAAGCCATCTTCGTTGATCTCGATGATGATGATGATGGTTTTATTCATGCTTAGTGAGGCGAGGCCACTGACATTTATACTAAACCGACTGATTGTTGCTCAAGTGGTTTTATTGGACATTGAATGTCAGTAGTTTGTGGATGAAGTTGGGACTTGAAACATGCCTTTACTTTTGATCTCTGTTGTTCCGAGTTCCGAGACAGGAATTTGTTTCGTGCGTTTAGTCCATTGCCAATTTCTGCATTCCATTGTAAGTTCAGAAATTTTTATGCAAGTTATAACATATCTAGATTCTCATTTAACAACTTTTGTGGTTGTTTTTTTCCCCTCTTTCACCATTTTATCTGAATGCCTTCCAACTAATAGGCGTCATCCCTTAACGTTTCATATTTTTACATTAAGATTTTTATGAGTTACAACAATGATAACTCAAAATTAAATATTATTCATAATGTGTGATCACTGCACTACAAGCAGTGTTTTTACCTGGTAACAAATGTTTGTTAAATCTTTCAAATTATTATAAATGACAATGTCATAGTTATTGATAGTATATAGGGCATTTGTGGCAGCAAGGGCTCTGACATGCTAAAGCGCATAGCATTTCATGAGCAGCTACATGAAAATGCACGTTACAATTTTAAGATATTTGAACTGTAGTTGATAATCTCTCTCTCTCTCTCTCTCTCTCTCTCTCTCTCTCTCTCACACACACACACAAAAAACCCAAACTCACATTAAAAAAACAAAATAGGATTCATCAAAACGTAATAATCATGCATAAATCACGTTGAGTACTCAAATCTTGAAAAAAAAAAATATTGTTTAACATTGTTTTTGATTTTAAGCTTATTCCTAAGATATTCATACAGTCCCCCTTCATCATATGCAACATGTTACGATGCTCATCATTAACCATTTCCTCAATTTCCTCTTCATCTTCTGAGGTTACTGTTTTCCCCCATTCATGATATAAGAGCTCAAGAAGAGGAGAACACCATTGCCCTCTTCTCTTGCTGTTGATATGGTTAATGAATACTAGATAATTCAATATTTTTTGAGTGAGATTGGTCAAGTTAATCTCCAGCAGTGGACTTTGCAAAATCACTTAAATTATGTGGGTCATTGCTTTATTTATAAATAGGACCTGTAGCACTAACTATATCTACACAAAAACAGCTCCTGCAGCATCAGCTATGCTGGAGCCATTTGAAAATTGCAACACTACGCATGTGGTGTAGTGTCAAGAGATGTGTTGAGCTATGAGCTATAGCACTATAGCATATCCCATTCTCATTTAGCAATCATTGTGATTCTTTCTTCCTGACATGGTCCTTTTTCTATAATTTCAGGCGTCTTTGATGAAAACGGGAAGCTTCTTGGTTCGTCTAGCAGCCCAATACAGATATGGAAAGATGGTGTCCATGTTGAGGTACAATATTTGACTAATTGGACTTTCAATAAATCTACATGCAGCTCAAGTAGGACAGCCACAAATTTAATATGTTGGTTGTCTCATTGGTCTCTAATGTGACCCAAACAATAAAACAACAGAAACACTACATTAAGACAATAACAGCACTAAATATGAGAGGAAAATGCTGAGTTTTTTTATAATAATGAGCTGAGTGGACCGAATCAGAGTTACAAGGACACTCTCTGATTCTGGCAAAAAACTCTATTTCCCTATAAATCAAGATAACTCCAGCCACTAGATTTCAAGCTTCAAAATACAAGTTCCCTACCACTGGCATTCGAGAGGCCAGTCTCTCCTCACCACTCTCTTCTTTTCTCCCCACTCTCCAAGCCAAAGACTACTAATACCCTCAGTATGGCTTACCCACGGCCCATACTACCCAAAAGATTATAATCATGACAAAAGATTACAAATCACTGTTCCTTACGGCTAGGGACTGACGGATAAGTCCCTGGACCAGTTAAAGTATTTCCACTAGAGTTATTCCTCCCCTTTGACTTCCTCTGATATGTCTTATGAAAATAATGGGCTCTATCATTACCCTCCCCTAAGAGTTTCACCTTGTCCTCAAGGGGAAAAGTTGGAAACTGTTGGCAAATCATTTCTGCACATTCCCAGGAATTCTCAAATTCTGGTAAATCTTGCCATTTAACCAACACCTCTCGCTGTCCGTTCATAAGCTTGCGAACCTTTCTTATATCTTGAGGCTGCACCTGCAATTCAAATTCATTAGAAAGTATTGGGGGAATGGAAGGTTGTACCACAGTAGCTGAAACTGTTTGCTTTAGCTGAGAAACATGGAATACAGGGTGAATGCGGGCAGTGGGTGGGAGTTCCAGCTTGTAGGCCACAGTCCCGATCTTTTCAAGAACCTTGAAAGGTCCGTAGAAACGTGGGCTAAGCTTCTCATTGTCCCTCCGAGCCAGGGTTTTCAACCGATAAGGTCGAAGTTTCACATAAACAAGGTCCCCCACTTCGAAATGCACATCCCTACGATGCTTGTCAGCTTGCACCTTCATTTTGCTTTGAGCCTTAGCCAAATTTTCCCGTAATTGCTCAATGATCTGATTTCGAACCTGAATCTGTGCATTCACGTCTTCTACAGCTGAGGGTTCGCCACTAAATTTTAAAAAAGTAGGAGGATCCCTTCCATACACTGCCTTAAAAGGTGTCATGCCCGCCGCGCTATGAAATGAAGTATTATACCAATATTCAGCCCAAGACAACCATTTAGCCCATTGAGTAGGCTTCTCATTGGCAAAACAACGCAAGTAAGTTTCCAAGCTTCTATTTATCACCTCCGTTTGTCCATCGGATTCTGGATGGTAAGATGAACTAAGGCAAAGTTGAGTTCCAGCTTGTTTGAACAATTCTTGCCAAAAATGGCTAATGAAAACCCTATCTCGATCTGAAACTATGGTTTTAGGGAAACCATGTAGCTTCACAACCTCAGCTAAAAACTTTTCAGCAACATCCTTTGCAGAAAAAGGGTGGGCAAGAGGGAAGAAATGTGCATATTTTGTGAGTCTATCCACCACTACTAGGATGGTGTCATACCGCTTTGATTTGGGAAGCCCGGTGATGAAATCCATGCTAATATCTTCCCAAACACTTTGAGGAACAGTTAATGGCTGTAACAGACCAGCAGGAGTTAAAGCTTGGTACTTATTCTTCTGGCACACCTCACAACTTGCCACATATTGCTGGACATCCCTCTTCATTCCTTCCCAATACACTACATTAGATAGCCTCTTGTAGGTCCGTAAATAACCCGAATGCCCCCCTATCGGAGAATCATGGAACTCCCTAAGTAGCAAGGAAATTCTGGTAGATCTTTTTGGTAGCACCAGTCTGCCTCTGTAGTGCAGGCAGCCATGGACCACGCTGTACCCTTCCACCCCATTTTTATTCGTGATCAGTTGCTGCAGAATTTTTCTCAATTTTGGGTCAGCCTGTACCTCTTTCTCCCAGTCTTCCACATCATTATATTGCCATAAAGAAAATGCCAGCAATTCCAGTGATTCTTCTTGTCTGGATAATGCGTCAGCAGCCCTATTCTCTTTCCCAGGCTTGTACACAATTTCAAACTTGTATCCCAATAATTTAGAGACCCATTTCTGCTGGTTTTCTTCCACTATTCTTTGCTCCAGCAAGTATTTCAAGGCCTTTTGATCTGTACGAATGATGAATTTATGCCCCTAAAGATAATGCCGCCATTTCTTGACTGCCATGACAATAGCCATGAGCTCCCTTTCATAAATGGAGCATTGTTGTGCTCGAGTAGAGAGTTTTTGGCTATAGTATGCTACAGGTCTGCCTTGCTGTGTTAGAACAGCCCCTACACCAGTGCCAGAGGCATCGGTTTCTAACTCGAAAGGAAGGGTAAAATCAGGCATTGCAAGCACAGGTAGTGTGGTCATAGTTGTTTTGAGTTTTTCAAAAGCCGTTTCTGCTTCCGTTGACCATTTAAATGAGTCTTTTTTGAGTAAATCAGTGAGAGGACTAGCAATCTTCCCATAATTCTTGACAAAACGACGATAGTATCCGGTCAGCCCTAGGAATCCTCTCAAGGATTTCACATTCTTAGGCTTTGGCCACTTCATCATGCTCTCTATTTTGGCTGGATCGGCTTGAACCCCTTCTTTTGAAATCAGATGCCCCAAGTATTCAATCTTGTACTGAACAAAGCTGCACTTCTTTAAGTTTACCACGAGCTGATTTTCTTTCAGGACGGAAAATACTGTCCTCAGATGCTTCAAGTGAGCGGTTACATCACTGCTGTATATAAGAATATCATCAAAAAAAACCAGCACAAACTTGCGCAAATATTCCCTGAATACCTCATTCATCAAGGACTGGAAGGTTGAGGGAGCATTGGTTAATCCAAATGGCATCATCTTAAACTCATAATGTCCCTCATGTGTCCTGAATGCTGTTTTGTGTTCATCCCTTGCTTTGATTCGGATTTGATGGTACCCGGACTTTAAATCCAGCTTTGAAAACACTGTGGCTCCCTTCAATTCGTCAAGTAGCTCATCAATAGCGGGAATGGGAAATTTATCAGGAACTGTAATTTTGTTTAATGCCCTGTAGTCAACACAAAACCTCCAACTTCCATCTTTTTTCTTCACTAGCAATATCGGGCTTGAGTAAGGACTGTTGCTAGGCCGTATAATTCCAGATTTCAACATGTCTTTCACCATGTTCTCTATTTCATTTTTTTGTAAGTAGGGGTATCGGTAAGGCCTAATATTTGGAGGTTGCTCCCCCGGTTTTATTATAATAGCATGATCCTTGGAGCGGGATGGAGGAAGCCCTTCAATAGCTTGGCAAACCATTGGAAAATTTTCCAATAATGTTTGAATTTCCGGGTTCAGAATTTCTGTACTTTCACCATTACTGGTCAGGCCATTGTATTCAATCAAGAATCCCTCCCCTTTCTTCCCTACTGAGCGCATTAAGGATTTGAAGGTGGCTTGTGCTCTGGTGAGAGTTGGGTCCCCTTGTAGACAAACTTGCTTTCCTTTTTCACCAATCCTCATCGTTAGTCGGCTCCAGTTCACTCTCACATCACCCAGTGATTTCAACCATTCCATTCCCAATACAGCATCAACACCACTTAGGGGGAATGGGTAAAAAGTCTGAATGATATTAAGCCCTTGTACCTTCATACAGAGATCCTTGCAACACTTTCTCCCTTTTAAGGTAAAGCCGTCGCCTACTGTAATTTTATACTCAGAAATTTCATCAGTGAGTAGTTTCAACCTGCTCTGCAAATCCTCAGCAATGAAATTATGAGTGGCCCCGCTGTCAATGAGTATGATCACTTCAGTGCTCTCAATGGTCCCTTTGACCTTCATGGTATGGTTGTCGCTGAATCCCGCCATGGAGTTTAAAGACAACTCCATCTGCGTCTCTTTTTCAGAATTCTCATTACCTTCGACTTCAAGTTCAGGTTCAAGTTCTACTTCTTCCTCCTCAAGTGTTCGGTCCGTTCCCTTCTCCATGATCAAAACTTGGAGATTTTTGTTTTTACACTGATGAGTGGGATTATATTTATCACCGCACTTGAAACACAACCCTAGCTCTCTCCTTCTTGCGATTTCAGCATCAGATAGGCGCCGAGAATTGCTTCCTTTCCTCACTGCAGAACTCCAATTCGATGTACTCCCAGCCTTCGAATGCTCTGTTTTTGCGTCAGTCCGCCTCGTGTTTTCTGTGAAGGAAGACGCTGGTGTTGTCGCGTGCTTGCTGCCTTCTATCACATGGGCTACACGTGCAGAATACACTGGTTGGGCCGAATCGGATCTTGGCCCATAATGGGTGCGTTGGGCTCGGGTTGCCTTAGATTCCTTACTTTCAGCCAGCATTTGATTTCTCTCATCAATACACACGGCCACCTCCATCAGGTCTCTCAATGTGGTAGTTTTGGCGAGTTTCAGCTCCGCCCTAATTTCATCTTTAAGCCCAGAACGAAAAGCTCCAATTAAGCATTCTTCTGAAGCTTCCCTTAATGGCGCTGACAATAACTCGAATTCTTCTACAAACTCAAGCACAGATTTCTCTTGTTTAGCTGTGAATAACCTCTCGTACTCACCTCCGGGTTGGGAGGAATGAAACCGTCGCAACAACTCTCTTTTGAACTCAGGCCAGTTGCTCAGTGGAGTCCTTGTATCAAGCCATTGGTACCAGTTTAAAGCTTTACCTTCAAGACATACCGCGGCTGCCTCCAGTTTTTGCTGTTCTGTTACAGAATTCACGTGAAAATAGCGTTCGACTCTGAAAAGCCATCCAATGGGGTCCTCGCCAGAGAAAACAGGTAGCTCTAATTTTCGATACTTGCCACCTTCAGTATCTCCCCCTGGGTTCGTCGCAGAAGCCTCCTCATGATGATTTCCTTCTTGTTCTTCCACACGTGGCCCTGGTATCCTCTTTTCTATCTGCCCCAGTGTTTCGGTAATTGCCTTCAATGTATCTTTGATGTCACCTACATCCTTAGTTAATACCCCAACTGTCTCCTTCAACTCCTGTACTTCTTGGTCAGCATATTGTACTCTCTCGCCATAACTTCTCTCTCAATTTACCCAGAAATCTCACCGCTCTGATACCAAATAATGTGACCCAAACAATAAAACAACAGAAACACTACATTAAGACAATAACAGCACTAAATATGAGAGGAAAATGCTGAGTTTTTTTTATAATAATGAGCTGAGTGGACCGAATCAGAGTTACAAGGACACTCTCTGATTCTAGCAAAAAACTCTATTTCCCTATAAATCAAGATAACTCCAGCCACTAGATTTCAAGCTTCAAAATACAAGTTCCCTACCACTGGCATTCGAGAGGCCAGTCTCTCCTCACCACTCTCTTCTTTTCTCCCCACTCTCCAAGCCAAAGACTACTAATACCCTCAGTATGGCTTACCCACGGCCCATACTACCCAAAAGATTATAATCATGACAAAAGATTACAAATCACTGTTCCTTACGGCTAGGGACTGACGGATAAGTCCCTGGACCAGTTAAAGTATTTCCACTAGAGTTATTCCTCCCTTTGACTTCCTTTGATATGTCTTATGAAAATAATGGGCTCTATCAGTCTCATAATTAGGGTACAAACTCTATACCATGTTCAACTGACTGTGTGAATTATATGACAAGTCCTTGGCACGGTTTGATTACTACCATATCTTGGCAAATGAAGCTCGTCTAAAATTTTTGAAGTTTTGTCACAGTTAACATTAGTGGCTCTGGTGGTCTTTAAGGCTTTAATATTATACTAGATGTAAGTTTTTTTTTTTTAATTTCTAGACTCTAGAATTTTATGCTAGAGCCTTGTGCCTCAACAACTTAAAGACATCTGAACCATGCTTCTACTTAAATTTATTTGGGTAAATTGTTTGTCCATCTTCCAGCTCAGACATTGAGTGTTTTTTTTTTATTTCCAGATTGGTTCCTGTGTAAACATATATGTTAAGATGTTCTATTTTTTGAAACAGCAATCTTCTACAGATATATGGCATGCAATCTGTGCAGCTGTAAAAGCGGCTTGCTCTTCAGCAAAAGTTGCACCTGAAGAAGTAAAGGGTCTGGGATTTGCGGCTACTTGTTCTCTTGGTATGTAACATTTCTGACATAGTTGCTTTTTCCTTCTTACCAGCGATGAATATTGATTTGTATGCACATAAATATAACTGGTCATTTATGGCAGTTGCAGTAGATGCTGATGGCTCTCCTGTTTCGATCTCTTGGAGTGGTGATTCAAGAAGGAATGTGATAGTGTGGATGGATCATAGAGCAGTAGAGCAAGCTGAAAGGATCAATTCCAGTAACTCGCCTGTATTACAGTATTGTGGTGGAGCTCTTTCACCTGAAATGGAGCCTCCAAAGGTATCATCTGAACTAATCCAGTTGTTTCACCATTTGCTGCTTTATGTAGTTTGCCTTCCTCTACTAAATTCTTTTGTCAAGCATATAGCTGAACCCGTCTTTTGTTCTGATATTCAGCCATACCAAACCCCAGGCTTTGTTCATACTACATATATTTTCATCTTTCTTTCTTTCCCGTTCTTTTTTGCAGATTTCTTTTTGTCTACTTTATCATGTGTATAAATTTTGTATGCTTCTTCTACATAAAAACGCTCAATTTGCTGATTGTAGTGTGATTCTAAACTTCATTTTGTCTGTGAATGCTTCAATCTTAACTAGTATAACAATAATTGCTAGAAGTACCTGAAACTATTTCTACAATTGGGATAGATGCTGGGTATGAACTGCGTGAGAGAAACTTGTTTTCTCTTGTTTATTGAAGTAACTAGAAGCATCAAGGTTTATCAGAGTAGTTTATCAGCCATACACATATGATAGTATTTGTAAGAATTATCTAGTAATGAATTATTTTTTACAGGAAAATTAAATAACATATGGAACAGAAAAAATTGTGAACTGATGGTTTAAATAAATTATATTTAGGGTTGGATTGATATGCAAGTAAAAAGAGTGGAAGGATCTTTATTGGGCTGTATGATTGGTGTTAATAATGCCTGAGAATCGAGACTTTGAAGATTATATGGTTATGAACTCTGAAGAAAAAAGCACAGGAATCCACAGGTCCCTGGATCCACCTTGTTCCGGTCGCTGGAAATCATTCCCAAACTAATGGCTAGACTGAAGCTACAAATCGTAGTTTGGGTGACTTGGGAGCTTAGTCAGGAATATTGAGACTTCTCATCTACACTCTCCCTCCAATATGCTCTATGTCCCTCTCCCTTTCTCTTTTCTTTCTTCCCTTTTCCATCCCGTTTCACATCACCCTGGAACCTGAAATAGTCTGATCTGGATCCTAGAAGTTATTGATCCATGTGATGGAAAATTTATGATGAAGTCCTAATATTAGCATTAGATTAGAATGTATTTTTCAGTGAATGTCTCTTGGCTCCTTAAACTTTGGTCCTCAAGATCCGTGTGTCCAGCATACTTGTATTCTTGTTTGGAGCGTAGCATTGAGTGAATAAATTTATCTATCAGACAATTATAAGTAAATATGCAAGATTTACCATTTAAGATTCAAGGCTACCAAACCTGGTCAGTGGTGCATGGGGGTGTTTCATGTAATGTGTTGTTGATGTTATCATACACATAATTCAAAATTGGTGAAATTTTTTTTTTGTGAATTCGATTGTAGCTTTTTTAGTTATTTACTGATACAATTATAATTTTCAGCTATTGTGGGTCAAAGAAAATTTGCCAGAATCTTGGTCTATGGTTTTCAGGTGGATGGACTTGAGTGATTGGTTGTCATACAGGTATTCTGTATTCTTGCTATCAAGAATATGTGCATCCATGCCAAGTGCACTTCAATTTGATGAATGTTTGATGAATGCATGCGGTAATTTTCTAGGGCAACTGGAGATGATACTCGTAGCCTGTGCACCACTGTTTGTAAGTGGACATATCTTGGTCATGCACACATGCAGCAAGTAAATGATAAAGACTCTCGAGATATGGAAGCTTGTGGATGGGATGATGAATTTTGGGAAGAGATAGGGCTGGGTGATCTTATTGAAGGACATCACGCTAAGATAGGTATACTCATGACTGATATTCGAGCTAATTAAATAAGTCACAAGTATTGTGACCACCTTATGTGGATCACATGCAGAATCCAATTGGAAATAGGACGCTCTGTTACAAAGCATTTTAAATACCAAATTGGAAGCTTGTATGCAAGCAATGACCTTTATCTGGACTAAGTTATTTGTTACATGTTCATCACATTTGAACTTCAGGAGATAATTTTGTGGAATCTTTTGGCTCTTACTGTGTTAATTTCACCTTATCTTCTGTGCTTATTTAATGAACCGTGGACTCTGTTTTTGCCATCAGCTGTCAATTCTCTCTTCCTGCAGCTTAACATGATAATGTTTCATGATAACAGGACGAAGTGTTGCTTTCCCTGGCCATGCTTTGGGTAGTGGCCTTACTCCTGCTGCAGCACAGGCAAGAAATTTGTTCTCAAGATTTCACATTAATTTAAAGTGGTGATCCTTAGGAATACCCTAATGTAGCAAATATGTTACTTAATGGCAATATGAGTACAACCTTCCTCCTTTAATGTGAATCTAAGTTTATTGCTACTGACTCCAACGTGTAGCTTTTAATTCTTCTGAGGAGCTTATTAAATGTTCAGGAACTGGGTCTAGTAGAAGGAATTCCTGTTGGGACATCACTAATTGATGCTCATGCTGGTGGTGTTGGGGTAATGGAAAGTATGCCCCCATCAGATTCTGAACTTAAAGGTTACCATGACACAACACATCCATTTTTTTTGCCCCTTTTAACACCTTAAAGTTAGAAAAAGGAAACATTGTTGCTCAACTACAGGAGGTTTTGTATCTTCTGGGCATGCTAAGGAAGAAATCTGCAACCGCATGGTGTTAGTCTGTGGAACTTCTACTTGCCATATGGCTATATCACAGAGCAAGCTGTTCATTCCTGGGGTTTGGGGACCATTTTGGTCAGGTACATCATTAGAGTTTCTCCATTTTATGAGCAAATTGCCACATCTAGATCATACTGTTGCTTCTTTTAATAGACACAAACTATTGTGTGAATAAATTATATAGTCCTCTTAAATTTTGCTGAAATCAGGGAAAACATAATCGTTGGTCCTTATAATTTCATCAGGTTTTGCTTTAAGTTCATGTATTTTTTTCCATTGTTTTTGGTCCTTATAGGGACTAAAAACATTGAAAAATTTGAAACTATTGGGACTTGAGAAGTAAATGTCACCCAGTTTTAGAGTAGGAATTGAAAACATTGAAAAAAATTACAGAGACTAAAAGGAAAATCCAATGAAACTATAGGGACCAATGAATGTGTTTTCCCCTAACATCATGTAGATTTACCTCCAATTTTCAAAATATACATGGCATCACTTCAAACAAAAAGTTGCACTATGACTTTTATTTTTTTAATTTATTACTAAAATACCAACTATTAACCATTTTTTGGACCAAAACTGATAACCTGAATGCATAATTTTTCGGTTAAATTTGATGAAAACAAATTCTACTCTATGATAAATTCTTTTTGTAGAACATTAGTATTGGCACATAAAGTTGGAAGCTAAATTTAATTGGAGATTACATTTCACACTATCATGTGAATGATGCCCAATTTCATTTTCATTCATTTAATTTTGTTAGGATCAATTAGCAACTCTGCAGTTGCTCCTTTGGGATTCTTCTATGTGGTGAACCATTTTTCCTTTATTTGTTCAGCGATGGTACCAGAATATTGGCTCACGGAAGGTGGTCAGAGTGCTACTGGTGCATTATTGGATCATGTAATTGAAAACCATGCTGCTTCTCCTCACCTTGCTAATCTAGCTGCTTCTCAAAGTAAGATTGTTGCACTATTTGGAGCATACTCCACACTGATATATAAGCCAGGCTGACTGTTCTTTGCTATAACTTTTCAGAGGTTTCTGTCTTTGAACTTCTGAACAAGATCTTGGAAAAGTTGTTGTCTGAGCAGAACCATCCGTTTGTTGCTGCCTTGACTGAAGATACACACGTTCTTCCTGACTTCCATGGGAACAGGTGTCTGTTTACTGACAAACTTTCATCTGTTTTAGCTATGGCGGCTTCCAAATAATAGGCTTCTCTATATGATGGTTTAGGTCTCCCATTGCAGATCCAAAAGCAAAAGGTGTTGTTTGTGGTTTGACACTTGACACAAGTGAGAAACAGTTGGCCCTTCTATACTTGGCAACTGTGCAGGGAATTGCATATGGCACTCGCCATATTGTTGAGCATTGCAATGCCCATGGTCACAAAGTAAGGATGCACATGTCAAATATTCAAGGATAATATATACATATATATTTGCGTTGGCTATTATTGAACAGCCTCAGCACATTTTCTGATATTTGCCTGGAGTCTGAACATACCTTTGTTAGATGCTATATTTGCTTTGTCCTTTGTTCTTTAAGGGGAGGAGGTGCATGCCTATTAGATGAAAAAGTTAGTGGCGAAGTTTGTCAAACTATAAATGATGATATATGGTGGCAGCTGTATTTCTAGGTAACTATTGATGGTTTTTCTGTTTTGACTATATGGCATAAGATCGATCTTAAAACTTTCAATATATGCTGTATTGGGTGGACTCCTATCCAACAGCATTGTTCCATAATTAGTATGGGATTGAGACCTTGGGTACTGATTGCGTGTGGGGAACAACTACTTTGTTGTAAGATTTGTAAAGGAATTTAGTACACTAAGCTTCTACGAATAGATAATATTTTACCATATCCTGTGTTCAGCTAAAACATTTAATGCATGATCAGCTAGGGAGCCTGATGTGGCATAACACTGAGCTTTATACACCTCAGTTTCAAAGAACCATCTGACTTGAAAGCCTAAGAAGTTGTTCAAAACCTTAAATAGTGGTTTGATAACTAAACCTTTAAAGCCTGTTGTCGGAAAGAAAATCCAGGGCTAAACATCTTTGTATTTTGTCCTTCACATTAAACAACGAGCTAGGATTTTTAAAATTATGACAGTCACTTGTATATGTCTGTTGAATCTACATTTTGTGAGAGGCTAAAAATAATTTATCACTAGTTGTTATAAAGCCATGCCATTAGTTGGGGTTAGGATTACTGATTCGGTACTGATGTAACCTCGAGATATGTCCAGACATGTAAGAGAAAATAAGGGTGAATTAGGGAGTGGAAAAGAAATATCCAGAGGTCAGAATGTTTATCCTAAGGGTCCAGAAAATGAGGATTAGGTCATAATGTGTTATAGGGTGGCTGTAGATTTAGTTTAGATGCTAAGGGTCACCTTTTGCTTGTATTAATATTTTGTTGTTTTGGAGGCACTCAGACCATGTTTTGAGAGTCAGATAGTAGTGAGGAGAGTGCTGGTGTCTTGAACACCAGCGAGGGACTTGTTCTTGTTGCTGTTTCATTGCTTTCTTGTAATCTTCTTTCAGTATTAGGGAATAGGGTTTTGGTCAGAATCAGTGACTTCCCTTTTGTAACACTAATTCAGTTATTCATCATTTATGTCAGAATCTAAGGAATTCCCCATATTCTATCTGTTTCTGCATTCATTATCTGTTAATATGGATCAGAGTTCTATCAGGTGCTGACATTTTTTCATTTTTATGATTCTTCTGCCCTTTGCTCACAGATCAAGACCCTGCTTGCATGTGGTGGCCTTTCAAAGAATCCTTTGTTCATTCAGGAACATGCTGATATTATTGGTCTCTCTCTCTATCTGTTTCTGTGTGTGTGAAGAATCTTTCTGCTACCCTAATATTGACCCTTTTTTAGTGTGAAGAATCACACGAAGGATGCTTGAAAGTCATAACTCATAATAATTGCAACAAAAAAAAAAAAAGAATCTAGTATTTCAAATGTCGTTACAATCATGACTTCATGAGCATTTGGGATCCTATGGTCTCGTACAAAAACTAGGTCAAATTGTTCCACAAGATGGATTATTAGTAGTATAAATTCAATTGATGTTGGTGAAGGTTGCTGGATTTTCTGTGATTTTCTTTAGAAGTTCATATCGTCATTGTCACTTTATTTTGTATTTGTAATTTCATTTTTGAAATTGAGTCGCGGCTAAAATTTTCCTAGGCTGCCCAATAATTCTTCCAAGGGAAAGTGAATCTGTGCTCTTGGGTGCTGCTATTTTGGGTGCTGTGGCTTCTAAGAAATTTTCTACCCTTAGTGAGGCCATGAAAGCCCTGAACGCTGCGGGTCAGGTGTGTTTGCCTTTCTATCTCAAAAACTCACATTTTTGTTTTTGTATCCGGATGAGGATTAAAGGTTGATTTTAGACTGTTACATGTAGGGATTATGCCTTCCAACTGTGTCTTGATTCTGCATCATCAGCATTTTCATAAAATGGATACCGACGTTGAAAGTATTAGGACCTGTGATGCATGGTGAAACCACCATAAATAACATGAATAAGGTTCAACTTCGTTTATGTACATCTTTCTTGCTACAAAAAAAGAGAACTCTTGAACAGAGGAATGCACTTAGAAAATTGATGTCAGATTCTTTAGTGAACCTGCTAATAAATTTTGGAAAATGTGAAATGCTGCATAATTGGCTAAGCACGATGTGATTTGTTTCCGCACCCTTGTGTTGCCAAGGTGGCAGTAGGCAGCGAGAGGTTGCATGTAGTCATATTGTATGCATCTTATTAGCAGGTAAAAGATGAGCGGCTTTGGATTATAATGACTTTTGACGATTCATCAGATGTTAGGTTTATAATCTGATGTCCTAGCTCATTACTGTCACCAGAAACAGTGTTTCACTTTATGGAATAAAGCTTCGTGATCTCTTTATTTCCCCTGGTATCTTTTAATCAAAGGAGTAAATTATGACAGGTCATTCATCCATCTGAAGACCCTAAGGTGAGAAAATACCATGACACAAAGTACAAAATATTCCGGAGCCTTTATGAACAGCAGCTCTCTTATCGGTGCATGATGGCTCAAGCCATGGCGTAGTTCTCCACCTGCTTGATCTCAAACTGGTGATTCTATGACGTTATTTCGTGGCCATGGATTTCGGCTGCAGATTAGACAATTTAAGAATTCAATGGAAGAAGATACAGGGTAAGTAGTCATCAATTTGAGTTGGAAAGTTTTTTTGTACAGCCTCGTGTGCCTTTTCTTCCCCATTTTCTCCTTGAATGTATAGAATAAAGAGTTCGAGTTTCGCTCTGCTTTCTCTGCTGTAAACTGTGATGTAAATGAAGTTTATGATTTGACAAGAGTTGAATCACAGAATGTGTTACAACTTACAGAGGGTAAGGATGTAAATAACTTACAGCAAAGGATCGTTCGTAATAATTTGTTCTCCCAATTTATTTCTTCATAATTTTTTTTTAATTGGATTTTTAATAGACTTAGTATTAGTTTCTCAGATTGATAATTTTTATGAGAACTTTTCCATTTTAATCTCTCAAATAAAAATCATTAATGAGGAAAATGTCCTCGCACATTTCTCAATTATCACTTAGTTTAGGTGGTAAAGATAACGTGGATGACATGTGTATATGCTGATCAATGACAATGTTCCATCTCGAGTATTTCTCAATTTAAAAAAGTATTAATTAATTTATAATATAAAATTTGTGGCAGGTCAATATTATTTACAAGTTATGAATAATGCAATTTATTTTAAAATTTTATAGAATCTACGAAAAATATATTTAATAATAATTATTATTATAAATTAAAAATTGCTAGAATTTTTTTTCCAATTGAAGTGGATATGAAAGTAAGCCCCTGTCATGGACAAAAATGGTGGTCTAATGGAGTTATGAATCAGAATCTGGTCTTAGGTTATATAAAAAATGCTTTAGTGACTGAAAAATAAGTTACATTGTTTATAATTTGTAAATAGTATAACTTTCTTAAAATTTGATATTCTTATTGACATTGATTTCAATGTGTTATTTCACATATTTATATTATAAAAAATAACTTTGAGCGATTTTAAATTTCATTTAGATGACTTAGTTTTTATTATTTTTATTTCTTATACTCTTTCTGTTAAAAAATGTAAGGCATTTTTAATCAAATTTTACCATCAATAAAGTAGTTACTTTTCTTTAAATTAACCCTATCTTTTCATATTTACTCATATTTAATAAAATGTTGTACCCTAAAAAAATATTAAAATAATCTATTTAATATGGGCACTTTTTTAAAAAAAGATAATAATTACACTTTTAAAGATTCAAAATACCTTATATTTTTTAACATATAACTCTTCAAAAAATATTTATATTATTTAATAAAGGAAATATAATATTTGATATTTAGTACTACCATATAGATTTGTGCATTATCGAATTTATGAAAGTATATCTTTTTTTTTATGTTAATTAAACAAAAACAAGAAAGTATCTCTTTTTTTTCAGAAAAAAAATCATTTTTAGGGAAAATGATATTCCCTCCGTTCAAAAATGTAAGGCATTTTTAACTGAATCTCACCCCTCAATAAAGTAGTTACCTACTTTTCAACTAATCCTATCTTTTCATATGTACCCCTATTAAATACCGTACAATAAATATAAAGTTATTATCAATATGAGCACTTTTGACAAAAAGACAATGATTACATCTTGAAAGATTAAAAATATCTTACATTTTTTAACATTCAACTTCTCAAAAAACATATTTTATTTTTAAACAGAGGGAGTAAATAAATATTCTCAAAATATACAAATGATAGTCACGTACATGAAAGGTGATAATTATTTTTTAATCCTTGAGAACTGGCTTCATATTTTTGCTTTTCTTTTTTTTTTTATTATTTTGAAACGGCAAATTTCAACAACTGAAAATCAATCATTACGTTTTTATGACCAGTTTTTTTCTTGAAGAAACGACTAGAATGAAATAGTAAATTTTAAGTTTTATGCAAAATTTTTTATAAATGAAACCCAATAATTAAAAATTAGTTACTACTTTTTTTTTGTAGAAATGATTAGTTTTCTTGAGAAAATAACTATAAAGGAATAACAAATTACAAGTTGCTTTATGCAATTTTTATAGAGAAAATATAATCTTTAATCCCTATAGTTTCATTAAATTTTGTTTTTAATCCTTATAGCTTTTTTTCATTATTTTCAGTCTCTATAGAAACTATAGTCACTTAAAAATAAAAATTATAGTGATATAGAAAATATAGCTCATCTAATCTTTTTAAAACTATAAAAACTAAAAATACAAAAAAAAAAACTACATAGGCTAAAAAAACTTGATAAAATTATAAGAATCAAAGATTGTATTTTTTCTTTTTTTTTTTTCATTAGTAAAGTCTAACAACTAAAAATTAGTTACTACTTTCTTTCGAAAAATGACTATTTTGTTTGGAAAAATAATTAAAATGAAAGATCAAATTACGAGTTACTATGTGCAAAATTTGTTAGTAGTCCAACAATTAAAAATCAACTACTACTTTATTTTGAGAAATGACATTTTCTTTAAAAAATAACTAGAATGAAATAACAAATTATAAGTTTTGATTTTTATCTTTCTTTTATTCTCCATATGTATAACAAGTCTTTTGATATTAAAACTAATTGACAGACAAGTCCTTAATGATTGAAAAATAATAATCATATTTAGTGGTATATGATTGTTCTTTACATATTTTGGGGTATTGTTATGTCATATATTGATAATAAGATTTAAAATTCATAAATGCAGGCTAAACAATTCAAATGACATACAAGTCTCGATTTTCTTTACCCTGCTAGCTTAATTTTTTTTTGGCCTAAAAATTGCGATCATAAAAATAAAAAAAAATCTATACTTGTGCCCTTGTCCTACCTTTCATATTACTCGATTTTCAATCACATGACTACACTACGCAGAATCGAATTTTGCATTTCCCATTGCCTGAAAATAAAAATAGATAAATAATTAAAAAAATTGTCTTGGGTAGAAAATCCACAAAGTCAAATTGCGTGACACCAGCAGCATCTGTTGCTTTAAAGTTTAAACCTAACACGCGGGGTAGACTTTTGCATTGTGGTCAAAGTCGGCTTCTTCTATCTGACTTTGTCCACGTGTTAGAACATGAGTGGCCAATCTCTTTCACATTAAAACCGCTTGAAAATATATTATAATATACTTATGATATTAAGGGCAGTCACATTTTTTTTTTTTGGTTCACGAAGTGAAACCTCACTAATTTAAATATCAAAGTTAAACGCTGATTGGATATATTTTTTTTTATTAAATGAGCGAATTAAATTTGGGTTAAGCATAGAAAGGTAATAAACTCATCACCTTTGAAAAATTATACAAATAAACTCCATTAAACCTGAAAAAATCCAAGTTATATAAAACGATAAATTCTTGCATAACCTTGGTACACTATGTCATTCATGTTCTATCCAATTAAAACATATCATATTATATGATTGTATATATAATTTGACTTTGTTATTGATGATGATAAAGAGAGAAAAGATAAGGAATTAAATATTCATTCTATTCTGTAAAATAAAGTTATTAAAAAAATGACACATAAGATTTTATTTGATTAAATAAGTATAACATGACATGTTTTAATCCGACAGAGCATGGATGATATGATACATTAGGTCCATGCAATAATGCCTCATATAAAGCACCAAACGGGGTCAGTAATATAACTATATTTGCATTGCTTTTAAAAATAGATTTTGGTGTGAGGATATTGTGGGGTATTAATCTGGACACATAGATGCACAAAATATATGTGTTTTGGTAGTGTTAAGTCAATGAGCAAGTATCATCTGCACATGGCCTTATAAATTTTTTAGTGCATCATCCTCGTAATTAACTTGAGTGTGCGTGTGTGTTGTGTTTGTGTATGTATAAAAAGATAATCATCATTACTCCTTATAGGTCTGGTAAAAAAAAAATTACTCCTTGTAGCGCAAAGTTAATTAATTTCATGATTCTTAATTGATAATTAATATTCTTACACTTGAAGAAAAAAAGTCTGACTTTTCAATTTTATCATTCACTATAATTAATAACTATAATAAAATTTGCCTCGAAATTACAATTTGGTGCAATTAGGGGTAATATTAGAAAAAATTGCGTCTGCAGGATTTTAAAACTTGCCCTATAATTCTAACCGGAGAGAGTATATTGGTGAAGAGAAGACTAAGAAAGTAAAATAGTTACTAAAACCTAATAAAATGAGTATCATATGAAGAGGGTTTGACATATTTGACATTGGTTGGAGTGACCCAAACGAGAAGGTAATTAAAGAACAACTTGAACTAGCCAACTAATAGGTATTCCTTAATTAATTAATATTTTACAAAAAGTGCACACACAAATCATATATATATATATATATAAAAGTAAGTAGTAACAGTCTGATTGATTGAGAAAATTATTATTTTAATTAATTGTATCACTAACACGTATTCGTTGGACTGCTGCAATAAGTCATGAGTGTCTTATTCAAAGAGAATACTGTTAGCATATGAGAATTAAGAATTTGCCTCTCTAAAATAAGTCTAATTTGAAGCATCTTCGTCAACCCAGTGACGACACATACAAGAGTGTTTTATATTCAGACAACTTTGTTTAAAAAAAAAAAAAGATATGGTCCAACGTGTCGTGACAACGAAGTTCATAACCTGCAACGCATTATAATCTCATTTTAAAGCTTGTCATTGAACCAAAAGCAAAGTGATCAGTAATATTTATATATTAATGCAGAAAATCAAAGCGTGATATTCCTTCCTCACACATTACAAGGTACGTAGGGTTACGCAGTTCGAATGTTTTATATTTGTAGGTTGTTTATTGCTTGAGCCTAAGTGATTACCCAAGAGGCAGAACCAACACATTACGTGCAAAATATTAGTTCTGATTTACAAGCCCTACAAAAAAAGGTTCATGTTTATGCTCTACTTGTTTTTACCAAAGCCTAATATTGATATATATATATATATATATATATCTGTATATATGTATATATATCTTACCATTCATAAGGTTTTTATACTGTTGTCTCCCAGTGTTGTGTGGATTAGACAGCATTCCTCTTTTTTTTTTTTTTAACTATATGTGTGATATTTAATATTACCTAGTCAGATTTGAACATTATTAGACTTCAGCAATTCTGTCCCTAGATTTTGTATCCTAATATAACAAGGAAAAATTAAGGAAAGCAACGTTAATTCATGTTACAAAGGAAAAATTAAGTTTAATTAATTAGTTATAAAATTAGTGCATATATAAACTTTAAAACAAAGCAAACAAACGAACAGACTTGTATTTAGCGGAATTGGCTAGTCTCTCAAAATATAGTAAATTAATGTTTGAATTTCTATTGGAAGA